GGTTTGGGATGGGCGAATTTGCAACCCCCCAGATAATTTTCTTTCCCCAGTTTTCCCCAACCCCCCGAAAAAGAAGAAAAACCACGATTCGTATTGGAGGGAAAAAAAAGATATATATTTTCTACATATTAGTAGACTATCTATATATAAAATTGATTAAATAACCCTCTGAAACCCCTAAATTGTCATATATTTCGGAGGACTCACCCCTGGACCACTTTCGACACATTTCGAGAGACACCCGACCACGCTCACTTCGGGCCACCCCAGCATATTGTCCCCCTCAAGTTAGTTTTCCCCTCACTTTCGCCCCCACCCCCCATATTTCTGGTCTCAATGATCAGACGATATTCGAGGTGATAGCATACGGTTCAATGCATATTGCTGTCGGTCAAGATTCGAGGACCGTGCATTAATAATAATTATAAAGAGAGATGAACTATTCAACCTTCTTCATTGCGGGCTGTCGGAATTTCGATGACAATCTTGTTTAAGAATTTCTTTCCTTATTTGCCTATAAGTGTATCACATAACTATGTCTACATCTTATATCGGCTCATTAACTATTTTAATTATGAATAAGCATAGGCCTATACTTTATAAAGTATCGTAAGCCCCGAAAAGCTCATAATTATTTTCGAATAATTACTGGGTAGCCATTAAACCAAAATATGTTTCATGTCTCCTTCTACATTCTTTTTTAATGCTTCTTTTGGTTTTACTAATTTCGTAGCAAACAACCCAGAAAACTTTAAACCAATTGAAAAAAAAATTTGCCTAACTGTCGTGTGAGGTACGATTCAGCAGTGGTCCTCGAAACACTACTACGGAACGGCGTTAACATGATGCGTCCCCGTCTTTTCATTAAAGCAAAATCTTAGAATTAGGCCTAAAACTCGTGAAACACGTGGTCTAATCAGCAGTAGATATCTTGAATTAACTACGAGTCAACATGAGTTTAGTACGGATGTGTTTTTTGGAGTGGGGGTTGAAAGTGTGATTTTTAGTGGCATATTTTGCGGGGGGAATGGTTGGGATTGAGGATATTTCATAGGCCTGTATTCTTGTCATTGTATTAGGCGGCGAGTTATGTGGGTGTATTTTGAATATAAGTGTTTTTCTGGACAAATAGACACTGTAAAATGTCAAACTGATCTTTGCCGGTATGTCAAGATTTAGAATTTGAAAGGAGCTGGAATCTCATTCTGATTGTTCCCATTGAAGGGTCTACATTATAACCGCTACTATTGTCTAATACACTCAAGCTGTCGGCTAACGAAAGGTCAAGCTGCAATTGGCTATTTTTCTTTGAAACATATAATAATAATAATTTGGATTATGAATGAACTTCCCTTTTTCTTCATGAAAATCTACATTTCTTCTCTGCGTTGTAATAGAGAGATTTCGCAAACTTACGAAAACGATAACGAATACGAATACGTCATTGTTGTTATCGTCATTCGTGCCTAAAACATTCTTGACAATATGTTGTATGAGCTGAATATGATCCTTGATTCATGCAAAAGGCATGAATCGCCTACTTTGTGACATATAGGCTTATGCTATTGTAGGGGAAGAGCTGTTTTAGAAATTGATGACGTAACCGTATTCGTTATCGTTTGCGTAAGCTTGCGAAAACTCCCTAATACCGTCCAACGATTTCAATTTTGTTTATGAGTCCTTTCACTCTTGAGTACCTTGGAATTTCATTTACTTATGTTGGACAAAGGGTCAAGACGTGGCGATTTAGCCCGCACCAATCCTTTAAATTGGATTTAGCACGCTATATAAGATAACCAATACTCTTATGTTTTATATAGGCCTAGGCCTAAGCCTATATAAAATAGTATTCTCATGTATTAGTCTGTTTTGTTTTGTAGATAATATTATTACATTATGATTGTATGACAGTAGCTCTTTTGACCTAAAAGGAATATAAACATTTTTTTTTTCAACTTTTAGGCCCTATTTATATTATCCGCTTTGGAAATTTTGTAAAATTCATCAAACTTCAATAAAAATGGAATTGCTCGATGAAAAATCAATAATGGTAATGACTTATGTGAATGATATAGTAACAATTGGCGACTTCACTTGGGATTTAAAGAAAGTGATGGTTTGATGCGGTTTTTTAAGTGGGAGTGGCAAAGTTTAGATGCTGCACGTAAAAAAATGACAATTTTTCCATTTTAACTGCTTCCATTTATGGCTTTGAAGAAGATATCTGCTGGAGGAGATGGTTGACAATGTATAGACCCACATGAGTTTCAAGATGTATACATGTGTAGGATTATTCAAAACGTAAGCAAGTCAAATACTTAATTATATCGTTGAAGGCGCCAATATCGAGACCGAATTACTTAACGTGAAGCCGATGAGACCAAATTCCCCTTCGAGGGAGGGGTAAAATGCCTTGCTGAAAAGCCAAAATAACTATGGATAGGTTCAGGGGAGGGGTGCAATATCATGGGGAAGAAATTCTTTTGACCTCAGTGCATCTCGTGATACTCTCGTGAAGCATCGATATTCTCCTCTCCCCAAACAGACGCGGATCCACACCAACTTTACTCCTCTTCGTGGATTTGGTTTATTACTCCATGGTTGCTAGAGATTCCATAGCCCTCGAAGCAATGTAGGTATATCCTTAATGGTCACTGGTTCGTTAAGGAACTTTTAACGCCAGCATTAATATCCGGTTATCCTAAATACCTATCAAGTAATATATTTCACCTGGGTAACCATACGTTATTTTGTCCAGAACCTCGAAGTTGTAGATCTGACCTATATATCCTAGTTTTATTGCACAATTTTTTTTTACTATTTTTATTTGATATATATTTATTTACATCAATAAACACACGTACAATATATATATATATACATATATATACATATGTATATATATACATATATATATATATACATATGTATACATATGTATATGTATATATATATATAATATATGTGTATATGTACATGGGCTATGCTTGATACAATTGGAACTTCCTCTTCGGGTATACTTATGTAGGTCATTTTTCTCCTGGGAATGGAATTTATGTGATGCCGACATAATGAATGTGGCTAAGAAATCCCGATCAGAGATTAATCTTCTGGATAATTTATCTTTTGATCCGACAAATAAAAAAGATCTTATAGCAAATTGCATTCTGTAAAAACACGTATTAGTTAAGATCGGAAGGGAGGTTAAATAGTTTAAAACAAAAATTACTAGCATTGAATTTTACCTGACATCGGCAAAAGTGGTAGGGGGCCTACATACTTGTCTTGTGTGTAGGCCTACCGTACATGCCGCTGAAAGAGGTTGCCTAGGATCAAATACCCAGATAAGTATAACTTGGACTGCCATACATTATAAGCAAAACAACTTGTAACAAACTGAAACAAAGGAAAACCAAGAATTTATTTTAAGAACAGTTGCACAGTGCTCCAGATATTAGTGTCAAAAATGTTAACATTTGGTTAAAAAAAAGAACTTAAAATGGAAGTGGGACCTTATTGACTTGACAGACTAGTAGGCCTACCGCTTATAAAAACCCTTAACATTGCTATTGATCATTGTGATTGGCGAAGTTCTTTCAAATAATGTTAAGATTTTGTCGGTTATTGCTGTGACGTCGACAATAGTTCACAATGATGTCGTCTGTCAAGAGGGTTAACCTTTGGTAGTTTGAGGAGTTCCATTGGCTTTTCATTGTGATAATTCTTATCCACTCGTTGTTTTATTGTAGAATTATACTCTAACAATAAAACAAAATATTTCACACTTATTCAATTGTAATTGTCCAAACCGTTATTACTCTACTATGCATTTGATTATAAATTTGATGACAACAGAAGAAATAATCTACTACGATTTGTGATGGATTATCACGTAAATTTCTAGTTGAATCAAGATAGTTCTTGGGATTAGAAAGACAATGCCGTTGCTACGACTCCTCGGTCGAACTCTAGAAATATTGCTCTTGAGAATCGGAACTTCAAAGATTCCTGGTATACGTGTAAAGATTATGTATTAGAAAAAATGTGTATAAAAAAAAAATTTAGCTTGTTCTGTTATCTTTAAGCGTTTTGGAACTGGTGGGTCAGGTCCAAGAGCAAAATCAAAAAGGATCATAATGTTACAGCCAAAATATATTTTACTTTTCTGCGTTTTATTTATTCCAGTTGTTAGTGCGCAAGATGAGCCTGTAACAATAGGTAATACGTTGATTATTTTTGTTGATATATTTTGTTGGTATATTTTGTTAAGTTTCTATTTCTACAAGCCCAGTTCTCTTTCATTGGCTATTTAAGATAGTTAATTTGACTTAAAATGTCATATAAAGTCAAATGTAATATAATAACGTGTACAACGTGCTTTTATTAAACTAATTTCTTAAATATTTACGATATTTCCCGATACCATAATGTTTGCTAAAGCAAGTGTAGATTTGATAGTGTCACCTGTAGGGCCTACTTTAATGCCTGACTGCTGTCAGCGAAAAAAAAAAATTATACTTGAACCCACATTTTTTTTAACTAATTCTTTTAGAGGAATGGACACAGTGGTTTGATAGCGATGACCCGGATGGCCTTGGTGATAGCGAGTTATTAGATGACTTAAGATCAGTAAGTTGTGTTTTTTATATTTTTGATAATTTACCATTAACATAATGAGTTTGCTTAAGAACAAAAACACGTATAATAATATAGAAGTTATAAATTAATATTGTTTATTAATCAATGATTTGTTTTTATAAGATTTTGATTTCGATCTAAGTATTACAATTCCAACCTGTTAAGAAAGGTTGGAGCATGAAAGTGCAAGCGGGTCACTGGAGGGGTGTATTGGGGCGAAGCCCTTTTGAAGCTTCGGAACTTTCATTAGGTTTGACGTTATATTTAATTGATTTTTACTATCTTACATGGTCAATTTCTGATAAGTTTGCAAAAATTTTTTTTACCAAAAATAAGAACGCCGCTCACGCACACTCTAAATCTGCAACTGCCATGTATTGAATTCTGGCCTGAGATTATATGACCGTCGTCTCCGGGCCCCTACTTTAGCTGGTAAAACCAATACAGCTACAACCTTCACTGTTACAAATGAATGTGGCTGATAGTCTAACATTCCAAAAAGACTTAAAAAACTAAATCCAATTCGTCTGATTTTTGTTTCAGTTATTCCCATTCTTGATATGTTCATTCCCGTTTGGAATCGAATGTCAGACAACGTCATTTCAGCCCTACACTGCCACCGGTCAGACGGTGACATGTAATCCAGCTATGGGTCTACAATGTCTGAACGCCGACAACCAGCCTGAAAATTGCCTTGATTATCGCGTTAGATTTAGGTGTGGAGAACCAATAGGTAAGATTTATTAATAATTACTATGCTCTATTCCCATTAGTCCCTGTCGTAAAATTTATTGCATAAGATATGAACTTCATATTATAATTAAATATTTAATTAAAATACTTTGAAATGTTGTGCCTTCACTGCAATTTACTCCAGTATGATCTTATCACATAGGTCAGTAACATAACAATTTATGTAGGCCTAAATGTATAGAGTAGGCCTACTTGGTAAAAGATCAACACCATTTTAATTAATGCAGCATGCTGGATACATCAAGGGACAATTCCCTACTCATGGTTTATAATGGTTTATGTATGTATGCCTATACCTCCAAAACAAATTGTACCTGTATTTGTGACATAACACAACCCCATTATTTTCGACAATACCAGACGGTTTGGCGCAGCGGGGACGGTTTGGTTTCCGAACCTCGGTGTCGGGGTTTCCCTCACTGTGCATTTCGATTGTGTCCTTGAGAAAAACACTTTATTTGCATTGCTTCTCTCCACCCTGGAGTATAAATGGGTATCTGGTGAGGTTGCTTGCTCCTGCGCTGATACCTGCAGCAACACTTAAACCATACCAGTACCAGTAAAATTACAAGTATGGTTTATGGCTTCTCAATTTTTTCATATATGACATTTTATCGCATTTTTATCATAAATGTTTATTTGCATTTTTATCAGACGAATGTGCATCGTCACCATGTCTCAACGGAGGAACGTGCAATGATCTTCAAAACGCGTTTGAATGCGTTTGTGTTAATGGATACGAAGGTGCTAGGTGTGAAATAGGTAACTTGGTATTTATTTTTAAGTTTCTGCTTTATAGAACGAAATTATTGGGACGGTATTGGTTTTGCGTTGTAATTTGAGGAGGAAATATTTCTCTCACTTACTTTCTATAGATATTTAATATAAGCTTAAAATATTGAAGTTGTGGTTGGTAAAGTCCGACCTCTTAAGGACTCCAAAAGTGTAGGGGTATAACAGGAGGGGTAGACATGCGAGTCGAATGCTAAGAAAGGCCCACTACCGCAGTTTAAGCCTGTTTGACTGTAAGCGAATTTATTCGCGCGAATCGAAATTGTCGGTTCATGCGCATGCGCATACACATTTCTATCGGAGCTTTTTGTTGCAGCAAATTCAGTAGTTCAAACTGTTTCTACTTTTTTGGAAGCGAAAAAATGCGCAACCAATTAGAGCTCAGCGCAAGTAAATTTGCCTAGTGTAAAAACGGCTTTAAGACGCGCAGCGTCAGCTAGTCATGGGCAGGCTGCCGTACCACCTCAGGCCGCATTGGACCTGGTAGGTAGAAAACTCACGAAGTTCGTTTGTAAAATATTAGCTCAAGTTGTTTTTTTTTTTTTTTTTTTTAGTTTTAAGAATGTACAATCATTAATATGACCTTTTTAAATATCGTCCCGCAGCAAATTTTAATCAAAACTTTGCTATGCATTGGCAATCCTGGCTAATTCTATCCTAAATCTATGTTTAAGAATCAATACGTTCATTTCAATGTTTGTCACTTCAAAAACAAATAGTTTGTTCTTACTTCGAATTTCAGAAACAAATGAGTGCGCCTCCAATCCTTGTCAAAATGGTGGACAGTGTCTCGATCTTATTGGATTATATTTCTGCAACTGTCCACTTGGTTATTTAGGTGTAAACTGTGAAACAGGTAAGCAATTTTATTTGACAAAAACATGTGACATGCCTAAATATGATCATGATGACATCACATCATGACCATATATAGACACATCATGACCATATATAGGCACATAATGACTATATATGGGCATACCCAACAGTTGTTTGTCAAAGAAAAAAGTGATAGTCTAGACGTGGCTTTAAAAAAAATAAGAATTTTAATATTTGTAGTAATTTGAAGTTATTAATGTATTCCCATGTTATGATTTTCGTGACCTCAATTATAAATGGAATAACAATAAAATAATAGATAATGTATTAATAATAATAATACTAAAAAAATAATAATAACATCAGAGTAATAGGCCTAATAACATAACTAATTATTGAATATATATTTTTTTAAATAATTTTTTTTACAATATTAAACCGAGTTTTAACTGAAGAATTCTGCATATTTATAATTTGTATGTTTTTGGCATGTTTTACTGTCAAGGGCAATGAGTTTCCCCATTGTGGGATAATGAAGTTTTATTGAATTGAATTGAATATTGATAGTATTGTGCATTTCTATAGCTTATGATGTTAATGATGATGATGATGATGATGATGATGATGATGATGATGATGATGATGATGATGATGGTGGTGGTGGTGGTGATAATGATGATGATCATGATCATGATGATTCAAGGAGGAGGAGGATGACGATAGTGCTATGATGATGATGATGATGCAAAGAGGATGAGGATGATAGTGCTATGATGATGATGATGTGAGGAGGAGGGTGATGATAGTAATAATACTATTAGTTGATGATGATGAAAATGATGATATGATGATGATGATGATGATAAATATAATAATAAGGATGAGCACGATAAGTCTAATGATGAGGAGGAGGATAGTTATAATAATGATGATAGTAATAGATATATTATGGTTTTCCAGACAATAATGAATGCAGCTCAAACCCGTGTGTGAACGGAAACTGCCAAGATAACGTAAATGCATTTCTTTGTATTTGCTTCGCGGGATACCGAGGCACAACTTGTCAAATAGGTTAGTACAAATTGCATCTTACGGTTGGTTTCCATACAATCGCTACACGCTATCGCCGACTGCTTTCGGTGATGCTGATTGGTCGGAGAGCCTGCCCAATTGCGTTGGGGACAGCTACGCGGTACAGCGATTGCACTGAAAACACTGTAGCGACAGTGTAGCGATTTTAAGGAAACCAGACTTAACAGACCTCATAAAACCAAACTTTAGCATAAATATATTGATAAAATGAGCATTGTCAATTATTATGGATTGATTGATGTTGTATTGATTGGGGATTGATTGGTTAATTTCTTAAGTTTTTAATTGATTGATTTATTGATTGATTGATTGATTGCTTGATTGATTGATTGATTGATTGATTGATTGATTGATTGATTGATTGATTGATACCGAATACTCGTACTGAAATAATTATTGTCCATTATAAAAGAAAGAAATGCATTCGAAACTGGCAAATATTTGAAATTACAAAACAAAATTGTCAAATGATTGATTGATTGATGAATTGATTGATTGATTGATGACCAAATGTCTGACTGAATATCTGAATGATTGACTGACTGACTATAGATTGACTGACAGACTGAATGATTGAATCATTGATTAACTGACTCATCGGTTGATTGATGGATTAAGGCGACATTATATTTATAACTCTTAATGGTAGATATCAACGAATGTGCGTCATCGCCTTGTCAAAATGGCGGAACATGCATTGACCAAGTTAATGGGTATCAGTGCCAGTGTCCATTTGGTTACATCGGTCAATTTTGTCAAACTGGTAAGTCTGGTAACTCAATATGATTTCTTGAGTTTTCAATGCATTAGGCCTATTTATACGTTTCATATAGGCCTACATTTTTTATATTAATAACAATGCTACATGAACATTTCGAACGGTAAAGATGTGTATAAGAGACAGATTTTCGTGACCTCAATTATAAATGGAATAACAATAAAATAATAGATAATGTATTAATAATAATAATACTAAAAAAATAATAATAACATCAGAGTAATAGGCCTAATAACATAACTAATTATTGAATATATATTTTTTTAAATAATTTTTTTTACAATATTAAACCGAGTTTTAACTGAAGAATTCTGCATATTTATAATTTGTATGTTTTTGGCATGTTTTACTGTCAAGGGCAATGAGTTTCCCCATTGTGGGATAATGAAGTTTTATTGAATTGAATTGAATATTGATAGTATTGTGCATTTCTATAGCTTATGATGTTAATGATGATGATGATGATGATGATGATGATGATGATGATGATGATGATGATGATGATG